GAGAGAGAGAGAGAGAGAGAGAGAGAGAGAGAGAGAATTTGTTTACCAGCGAAGACAGAAGCGACCGCAGCTACAGAAAAAAGTTGTATAAGTAATTTTGTAAATGTATATAAATGGTTGCAATGAATACCTATTAAAAATGAAATACAGACGGCTGGCCCTGAATTACGACTAGCTACATTGCCCGCTAATACATATACACCCAAACCAAGTGTTGAACCGATTCCTGAATATAGAAATTATTTAAATGAAGACAAGAATAGGAGAGGAAAGTAATATCCAACCCAAACACGTTAAGTCAAACAGTGATAGACATCGGGAGAGTTGACTTTCGCCCACATTCTGGTCATCGATTCTCTTCTTTCTCACTAATGCCTTAAGAATGGATTTGTTAGTCATTTCTCTCAATCACTTAATCAGGTGTTAATGAAACTAAAATTGTTAATAGTTTATAAAATATGCATTTGTTTGATAAAATACTTATTTCGATAAAATGATTGCATTTTCTTAATGTCATACCTTATCGACAATTTTTTGCAGTAATGTTTGGTTTGGTTTACAAATTAGATTTTGAATACAGAATTAACATATTTTATTTTATTTACTTTTTGCTACATTTTAAAAGTTAATAATTAAAATAATTTTAGTTTTAAAATATCAAAGCATATTTATTTTTCAAATGATTTTTAATTAAATTTAATATTTTAGTTAGAAAAACACATTAGAATAAAAGTACTAAATATACTGCATATTTACAAATGTATAGAAGTGTAAAGTATAGAGAATACAGTATCACAAGATAACTTATACTATTTTATAAGAGTACCATGGTACAGTAGCTCGTTAGCCAGTTTTTTAAGCACTTGAAATAGTTAAGAATTTCGATAATGGCAAGTTCTTACGTTATCTTAAGCAAATATTTAGCAATCGTGTTTTAATTAGCTATTATTTAGTTCATTTTCAAGAGTTACTTTTTGAGACACACTTTGTAATGATATTTAATATGATCACTAAAACTGATTTTCACATCACCAAACTGTGACCAATCATTTTACTATTTAACCAATCTTGTTTATCAAATTATATAATCCATATCTGCACCCAATAATATCAAAGTGACCATAACTAAATATAGTCAAATTCTTTATTTTCAAAAACTTGATATTCTTTAGAACTTAATATCTAGTCCGTTATAAAGTATTGGCCTAGCGGAATTTCGATTATCTCCTAATCTAAACGAGCTAGATCAAATCTGTAAAAAGTAAAATAGAGTTCCATATGTCTAGTTTTTTTGTGGCAAAAAATTATTGAAATCACGTGATCACAACATAGAAAATTTTGGGTCAAATCGATTTGCCATGTGTTGTGCCCACCTCGAGGAGGGCTAGGAAGGGGGCGGGTATGCTAATCTTTAGAGGAGATGTCAAAGACTATGATAGCGAAGTTTCATAAAATTCAAATGAATATTCTTTCGTAGCGAACAAAATATTTAAGAAATTTTAGGGGGGCTAGGAAGGGGGCGGGTATGCTAATCTTTATAGGAGATGTCAAAGACTATGATAGTAAAGTTTCATAAAATTCAAATGAATATTCTTTCGTAGCGAACAAAATATTTAAGAAATTTGACACAATATTTGAACAAAAATAGCCCAATTTTGACTGTTTTTATACTACATTTTTGTTGTTATAAAAAGTCGACTTCAGGACAATTTTTCCCATAGACGTAATGTTAATAAAATTAACAATTTCTCGTAGATGGCTGAATGGATTTAAATCAAACTTCGCTATCATAGTCTTTGACATCTCCTCTAAAGATGAGCATACCCGTCCCCTTCCTAGCCCCCCTCGAGGTGGGCACAAAACATGGCAAATTGATTTGACCCAAAATTTTCTATGTTGTGATCAAGTGATTTCAATAATTTTTTGCCACAAAAAACTAAACATATGGAACTCTATTTTACTTATTACATATTTGATCTAGCTGGTTTAGATTAAGAGATAATCGAAATTCCGCTGGGCCAATACTTTATGACGGACTAGATATTATTAAAAAAGTTATTAAAATAAAATTTTCCTTTAAATAAAGGAATTAAAATTTAAATATTGAAAATTTTCAAACAATAAAATACCAATTATGTCACAACTGATGAACTTTTTTGCAAATCTCCCACAGATTAACAAATTATATGTTCATTAGTCAACTTTAGATACAAATACAAATATTGATACAGTACAAATATTTTTATTGTTGCTTTTTTGAAAATTTATATTAATATTTAATCACATAACACTCGTGTTGTTATAAAATCCATGTTACAAAGGGCAGTTTCGATCCTATTTTATCAATAATAAGTTACAGTTAATTATTATTAATAATTAATAAATGAGAATGTAATAGAATGTAACAGAATGTACTCAATATTAATTTTAATCACTATTTAATCCATTATCAATAGTAAAGAGCCGCTAGAGTTGCCGTCATTGTGATAATGAATATTCAGCTTTTGAATACTTTAACTTAAATGCTAACAAATGTTGAATTTATATTTCAGTTAAACAGTTTTGAAACATTAATTTAATCAATTTAGTTTTTGTTTATATTGACCGTAAATACGGTTCACTATTCATACAAACGATGGAATTTTGGCACAAATATCGCAATTATATCTCGTTTTGGTATTCATTTGTTTAAAATAAACTTTTTGTTGTAATATAAACTAAAGTCAATTTTTTATTAAACCAATTGATAACAGGATTCTGGGCTTAAGTAATGACTATTCGTATGTAATTATGTTGAGCGCAGCCTTTGATATCATGAGCGTTAGTCACCGCCAAACACGACAACTTTATTCTTCTCTTTGATTGTCTTAATTAAAGGACTGTTTAATAATTAACAGTTGGTTTGGCATTAATTTATAGGCCTTTGATCCTAAAGATTCAAACCATTCGTCCGATGATAACAATGGCTTTAAATGCAACACCAGTTCCACCGGTTCTGTACTTCTCGCTGATATCCTTCCCTGTCTTTTCATCAAACTTTTGGCCCCATTTTTCTTCACGAATACTAAGTATTAGTTTATAAAAATAGTATCATTTGTCAAAAATTTAAATCATTTATTAATTTAGTCTTCGGGTGTCGGTTGTGGTCATACTATCGGCGCTCAGTTTCATTATAACTTCGTTTTCAATTAATATTTACATTTCATATATTGGTTCGCATTTAACAATTTAATCGGCGATATATTACAAACTCTACATTAATTGTCACGTTTTAGGAATAATCTGTGCCTCAATATCGGGCGGTTTAGGCGAGACTACATTCCTGTCCTATTCATCAAAGTTTGACTCTCGGGTCATATCTTATTGGTCTTCAGGCGCGGGTGCGTCCGGTCTGTTGGCTTCAATGTCTTACGCATTCCTCACTACAATTGGTTTGAGTCCTAAGAATACATTATTAGTGATGCTATTCATTCCCGTAC